TTTTCTTTCCAAGTTCCTTAGACTACAATGACCTGGTGGACTGAGAAACTTCACAGACACACTAATTAATCCTTGCCAAATATCAGCTTAGTAGAATTGTATAATAAAATGTGCTAAACGTCATACATACAATTTAATTATTCTCTCCTCTGTCTGTGTTTTTTTTTTTTTTTCTTCATTAGGAGCCATCTTCAGATTGAGACCTCAGTGGCAGTTAATGATGATGGATGTGCCATCTATTTGAAATACTGACTTTTAAAAAAAAAAATTATTATATTTGTCATGCAGACTGGGGGGAGCCAGGATCAAACCACCAACCTTCCAATCAGAAGATGACCAGCTGTACTTCCTAAACTACAGCCACCCCAAACTAACAGTATAAGTCTTTCTTTAGTAATTAATAGAATAACAATGAATTTGGAAAATACAAAGGCTAATACACCACATTATGTTTCTTAACAGAAACATGCAACCTCATGGAACAGTAATATGTCGAGGACAACAGTCACTGTCTTAATATACATATAATTGGCTTCTCTTAAAATTGTTATCCTGCTAGTGATAGAACTTACAAGCAGCTTTTACTGTTATTTCACTGTCCTAGCAATAAGTGCTATGTATTTAAGTTCTAAAGTTGTTAATCGTAGACTGCAGCTTCTCTTTTATTTTATGAAAGATTTAGATGGAATTTTCTTGCATGTTGTCTTTAACAGGATTCCATAAAACAGTGTCATGAAAAGCAATGGTGTTTCTAAACAGTCTGAAAATTTGCTGAATGTAAAATGCAATATTAAATCAAAATCATGCATGTCAGAGATGATTTAAAAATATTTATTACGAGAACATTCAGCAATAACAAATTTAGAAGAGAATGACAGCAAAAGAAAGAACAGGGGGAATAATTGTGAAATCACTGAAAAGTGTGATGGCTCCTCTGGCATTTAAAGAAAAATTAACAAATGAGTTTAAAGCCGGAAAAAAAAAAACAGCATAAAGAATAAAATTCCTGATTCAGATTTTGCTGCCAAAATGTTAGTGGAAAGTCCAAAGCCAGCATCACTCTACTGGATTTGGTCTTTCAGACACAAGGCAATATTATTTAAAAATACATCATTTCCCAAAGGGGTGAAATGAACTCCATCATGCAAAAACTGGTCAGGATTTCTATGCTTTATCTGTGGATGATGTACAATACAACCACAAACCGACAGAATAAAAGTAGTCATCACACTGTTTACAAAGCATCGAGCCTTGTCCACCTTCTTTGGATTAACACGCCTCCACTGGCATCGCTGGGTGAAGGCAGAGAAAATGATTTTCATCTGCGGGAACTGGTGGTGGAGATCACGCAAGTCCTGCTTGATTGCTGCCACAAGCCTGACGCTTTTGACATTGCCAAGGTCATTTCCACCACAGTGGATCA